TCGCAACATTTGACACAATTGGCCTTCTTGGAATTCTTTCTTTGCACTCTTCTAATTCTAATTTTTTCTTCTTCTTAGTAATAGTATTTTCTTTAAAAAAAGGTTATGTTTATTTATCTTTAGAGGGGAAAGGAAGGAGAGAGGGAGAGAAATATCAATGTATGGTTGCCTTTCACGCGTCCCCTGCCAGGAATTGGCCTGAAACACAGGCATTTGCCCTGACTGGGAATCCAGCCTCAATCCTTTGGTTCACAGGCCCGTGCTCAATTCACTGAGCTACACCAGCCAGGGCAGTAATAGCATTTTCTGGTCCTCTCCTCCTCCCCTTTCCTAAAAGTGGAGGTTCCTCAAAAGCCTACCATCCCAGCCTGTTTTCACCATCCTCTAGGCCCTCCTTTTTGCAAAGTTTCCTTGATTTTTACTATCGGTTTGAAATTGATGCTTCCCATATCTCCATCTTTTGTCCCAACTGTTTTCCAATGCCCCACTCCACTTTTCTCACCGTGTGTGGATTTTGCGACCTAGATGTCCTGTCAAATCACCCCAACAATGTTTCGGGGTTTTTGTTTTTTAAAACTCTGTCTTTTCTCCTGCTCCACCTCATCAATCACTAAGTTGTGTCCATTTCAACTATAGGGTTTTATACCATCCCACATTTTGACTTCCATTATTTCTCAATCTTGATATGTCTAATGGCCTCAGTTATCTGCCCAATTCAGTTATTCCTGCATTAATATTAGAGATGTCAAGAACATAACTTCGAAAAATATTGGGAAAAGCATAGTGTCTTTGAAGCAAATCATGGATTCAGTTCATGATTGAAGAATTTTTATTTCCTACTCTTTTCCAGGTACTTAGATTAGATACATCATCTTATATAGCACTCAGTGATAGCTACGTTAATTAACTGCTAATTAAATCAAGCATATATCATAAGCAAAGCACTGCATCGACAACTTTATTTTAATTTAGTCTCATGCACTAGAAAGGTAAGTACTTTTATTGTTTTCATTTTATACAAGAAATTGAGATCCCTTAAGAAACTATGGCTTTATGAAATTGAGTAATTTCCTCAGGATCTGACACTGAATAAATGTGAACCAGTAAGTTTCCAGAATATTTTCTCTTAACCATATACACAAGTCCATAGCAATCATAGAAGGTCATTATTGCCATCACCATTTCATAAACCAGGAATGTCAAGTAATCTTCACACTGCAGCCACAATTCAACCCAAGTTAACCTGACTCTAAAGTCTAGGTTCTTCCTTTCACTTTATACAATTTCCCATTTATGCCCCAAGTTTATAAGCTACCCCTCACTCCAGTAAAATATTTTGCATTTGTGGGCTTAAGAGGAACTGATAAAGAATGGCACTGGGTCAGCACAGCACCACCCACTGTGTTGGAAAAACATCCAAACTGTACACTCTCCTCATCATGTTGGCACCAACTTCATTTATAAAATTATACATGCTAAGTTATTGGGAATTCTACTTAAGGATACATGGGAAAGTATCCTTTCCAGAAAGTATCCAGTCATACACTATAAAAGTTATGGACATATATTGAAAAAGATACAAAATGCAAAAAACATTGTATGTAGGACAATGAAATCTCAGTCCCCTTCTAAGTAGGCACCTTGGGACCTTATACAGTTTTCCCAATTGCCTCAGCTGCCCTGTCATATTTTCCCAAATCTCATCAAGAGTCTGAAATTTCTTCCCTTTCAAAGGTGATTTTAGTTTTGGGAAAAGCCAGAAGTCACAGGATGCCAAATCTGTCTTGTAGCAGGGCTGAGTCACCTGGGTGATTTGATGTTTTGCCAAAAAACTCTGCACAAGACATGATACATGCGTCGGTGCACTGTTGTGATAAGACTGCCTGTCACCACATTCTCATAGCTGTGGCCTTCTGAATCATCTGAATAGTTTCCACAGAGGAACGTTCAAGCTTAACGCAAAATTTGATGCAGATTCATTGCTCTACTCAGTCATTTTTAATGCTATGGTCACACAGTACCCATGCTCACTCAATGGCATCTACTGCCCCCACTGACTACTACAGTGAAGTCATCATTGTTCACACATGCTCATTCCAATCCACTCTCCTTGACTGCCAGGTTACATCGAGGTAGCACAACCAGTTCTTTTTATATTAACAGCAGTGGGACTTTTTACAGACATACCTCATTTTTCTCTGCATTTTCATAGGGGTTTTTTTGCTATTTAGGGGGTGGGGTGGGTCTCTGTTAGACTTTATGCCAAGCTTACAATTGCTCTTGGATTTTAAGTTACTGTGTTCATCTAATTTTGCCTGGCCTTATGTAAAAGGTGAATCTGTTGTATTGAAAAGGAAAGCTATAATAAAACAGAGAATACAATCAAGCCAACCTTTTCCAACACCTGAAGGGTGGTAGCTCTGTTTTCCTCTGGTTAATGTTGAGCCAATAACCCAGGCTTCTAGTTTGCTCATTATACTAAGACACAGCCAGGAAAAAATCAACAAGAGGCTGAGTATCTGATAATTTGAAATTATACTTGCCAAGATACTTTAAGTTTATGTGGGCGGGCCAATTTTTTAGTATTTATATATTCTTACAACATACAAATGCCTGCTATGTATTTATAGACTCCATCTAAAGGGATAGAATGGTTCTTATTGGCTGTATTTGCCAAATTAGTAGGCATAAAAAAAAAACCCAAAGAGAAATCAAGATTGGAAACATAAGATGGACAGAAGCAAAAGCAGTCTTTTCATAAAGTTAATTCCAAGAGACAGAGTTACTACCCATGAAGACAGAGGGCTGACACCCAGCTTGGTTCATTAGAAACCAAAACCAGTATCCTTGTTTATAAAAGATGTGTTTCGTTAGTATAGTAACAGGGAAATATATTCATGCCCTCTATGTTATAAATGAAGGCTCTCAAGAGAGAAAATGTTAATACAAATGTAACACCAAATTGCTATTTAGAAAGGCGAAGTTCAGTGCCACATCTCAGACCACCTTTCCCTCTTACTCTATACAGCCTTGATAAACTGGTATCCATCTACCTGGAATAGTCTACTTGTCCTGCACACATGCATGTATATACACACACACTTACCTTTCTCCTATCTGTCATATCCTTTAAACCCTAGTTTAACTGGTGTTCCAGGAAATTTACCACACTATCACCATGACCATATGAGTTGTGAGACCATCTCTAACACCCTAAATTACTGTCGCAGCATGGGTCACCCCATACAGAAAGTAAATGTAAATTTCCTAAATGAATGCATACATTTTGCAATACAGAAAGTAAGTACTGTCATCATCAGGGTTCCAAGCTGTGCTCTTTTCTAAACTACATTTCCTAGAATAAAACTAGCTCTAACCATTTCAAAGAGCCATTAAGTTGGATAGTGATGTGATGGTTTGCCTTTTGCAGTCACCATTAAGGCTGGTCACAAACAGACTGCTCTATCCTTTACCTAATAAGATGTGAAAACTGATTTGTATCACATCCAGGCGGAAGGTTTAAGAGCGTGTGCGTGATTCCCCATGTTCACCTTCCCTAATCATGGAAGCGTATATTCCTGTTCCTTAATCAAAAAAGCAGGCTTTAAATGGGAGCCTCCATCAGCCTGAGTTCCTGGTGACAAGATGTAGAACAGCTGACCCTGATGAACATATAGTGGGATTGAGAAATAAGTTTCTAAAGGTGCAGCACAACCAACATATTTGGGCTGGAGATCAGCTACTTCCACCGTCTCTTCTTTCTTGCTATGAGAATTCGCCTTCCTCTCTAGAGGCTAAAAATGCCATCATGACACAGTTCTCGATAAGAAAATGTAAGGGAAATTCTATTTGTGATTCTACAGATATTTTCTTCCTTCCAAAAAAAATGGTTCTTAGTTTACTCATCCTTTTTGCTGCTTCATGCAGTTGTGTGAAGACACAAGGTAGTCCCAGGCGTATTTCGACGTAGGGAATAAGACTAAGAGTTAAAGTTAATATGTTAAGAGAAATGGCCACAAACTCATAGATGTAAAGCAAGATGACTGTCAAAGGTGGGGAGGCTTGGGGTGGAAGGATCGAGCAAAAAAGGTAAAAGGACTTATGGACACGGATAACCATTGAGTGATTGCAGGGGTGAGTGATGTATAAGGGGGTTAAATGGTGGTAACAGAAAAAAAAGGCAATAAAAAATTTTAAGTCAAAAAAGTAAAAGTAAAAATATAGCTCAATGACCTATTTTTTAAAAGTAGAAGTTCAGCCAGAATAAAAAAAAAAAAGGAATGGTTACACTTACATACCTTTAGTTGATTTTTTAAAAAAAGCTACTGACATCACTGATGGCTACCCCAAACCCATGGTCATCTATGCTGCAGGATACTGTAAATGATTTTAGTGTTGGGTCCCTGTTGATCAGGAATAGTTTCTTAGTTATAGCTGAATGCATTCTAACTAATCCTGTGGTAAATATGCAAATTTCCCTCTCTGGTTTTTCATACAACATGAATTTTCAAAAGCCACTATAAAAGGTCAGCTCAGGATACCTGGGAACCAAAAATTGCTATTTGGAAGAACTAGAGACATGAAAAAATCATGTAATGCTGAAATCTTCTGGCTAAAGATTACCTATATACTGATATTAGAAAAGGACATGTACTTGCTTATACTGGAGAAGAATTAAGAGAGTGTGTGAAAAAGATATTCACAAGTACATTCCTTCTTAGCCTCTTTGTTTAGAATTGGTTTATATAATACAAGTTTACATTAACTACCTGCCTAGGAAACTCTCAGTTGCCCTAGTTGTAAAAAAGTGTCAACCTTATGTATTTTGCCAGCAATAACTCTTTGGAGGTCAGGAAGGAACTTGATGAAGTGGTTCCCTGATGTTTGGGTGGGTTACTTACGCCATTCATTTATATCGCTTTCCAACCTGATTTATGTGGGATCCATCACCATTTGTTCCACCTCTTAAAAGAAAAAAGAAAAAAAGTGTTCATTTGTCTTCATCTCTCGTTAGAAAATACTTTCCCAAGGGTAATTATTTTATTAAACATTCTGTTCAATATTGACAATTTACATAGTACTCATTGAAAATTATAGAGGGATCATACAGTACTTTTCAAAGAAGTCACAGCATCCTTAAAACAAGAGTAAACTGAATACAACAAATAAAACACAGACACTTTGACACCAGAATCAAAATCTCCAAAAGAATTCTCCCTCCAATCTAACCCCTCCATCAGTTTTCACATTCTCCATCAGTCTCAGGGGATTTCTTCACATGGTTTGGCTCCAAAGAACAGCAGCCACAGACACAGACTGAATCTATGTTTTGACATTAACAGATCAGATCAGACTCTTTATGTTGTACTTTCATGCTCCAGCGAATCACTGTGGTGCCTGTAATGCAGAGTGCTGACTCATCAAAAAGTATTCCCGGTTCATCCCAATGCGTGTTCAAGTCTTACATACATGGATGTTAATATTGTCATTATTAATACTATTACTATTTTCTAACTTTAAAGTTTGTTTGTGAAATAAAGGTTGATTTTTCCCCTAAATTTCTGAATGTTTTACACACATGCAAAAGCACAACTTGGTTTTTGGAAGTTTATTTTACAGCCTGTGAGTGCCTAGTTAACTCAGGTAACTTTAAATGCAATTAATACTGTCAGACAATCAATATCATATTATCATATCCCATTCTTTAGGACATTAGGCTGAGTATTTTTTAACTGTATTTTTTTGGTTTTGTTTTTGAAAAAATTTTATTTAATTGTTGTTCAGGTACAGTTTTCTGTCTTTTACTTCCATCCCGGCCCCCCTCCGACAGTACTCCCCACCTCCCTCCCATTTCCACCCCACCTAGTTTTTGTCCATGTGTCCTTTATACTTTTTCCTCCAGTCACCTGAGCCACACTGGCCAGGGCGATACTTTTTTCTGTAAACCCTTCCCCTTTTCCACTGAAATTCCCTCCCCTTTCCCCTCTGGTCACTGTCAACCTGTTCTCTATTTCAGTGCCTTTGGTTATATTTTGCTTGTTTGTTTTGTTATTTAGGTTCCTGTTAAAGGTGAGACCATAGGTTGAGTATTTCTTAATGCCCCAAAGTAACTTCAAAATAGCTTTTTCCAAATTGTCTGGAGTCTCTTTCCTCCAAAATTAGAGTACCCAACATGGAAGATATATGAGAAGTGACTTGAAGATTACTGATTTTTAAGTGCCTACCCAGAATTTTTGTATTGAACTGATTATTTTCTCCTTCAAAAAAAACCAGTCACCCTTGACACTTATACATGCATCCTAAATATGATCTCATTAACTGAGCTCACTATCACTGTGCCAGGCTTTTGTACAATGCTGAGTATGAACATAAGCCTTGAATATTTTACTATTGAATGGGTCCATGAGTGAGTGAGCAAGTGATAAAAGAATAAAGTGAATTTAGAGCCTCCCCTTTGAGGACTCCCTTCCAAGTCAGTATCACTTTTTTAAAATCTACACAAATAGCAATGATTCGTGGTAAATTTAATTAGTGAAAATAGTCAAAATCACTGAGAACACGTCTTGGGACTGAGAGACACAATTCAGTGGGATAAGGGCACTTAGGGAAACACAAGGCATGATCAAAATATCACATCTCACTTTCTGTAACTGGGCTCGCAGGCAATTCCAGAAATGATCTGAGCATCAACAACAAATCTGGATTGGGCATGTGAGCTGCAGAGGGACTGCTTTGAGCGGCGATGCTTGACATAGAAAAACTGGCATGCTGACTTTCATGCTACTTTCTCTAACTGGGCTTATATATTTATGGTCATCATTCATATGATATTTTTAAATGTGACTGGGGAAAATGTCCAGTAGCTTCATGCTAATCTTCAATTTATAAAATTTAATTTTCCCACCTGCAAAATGAAGGCTCAAACTAGATGATCTCTTTAAACTTTTCCAGTGCTAACATTCAATAATTCTATAAATAAATAGTTTAGCTTGTTCACACATCTTCAACCACTCTTACTAACATTTCTGAGGTTTTATGTTGGGGGAACTATTGCTTTAACCAGTCACAAGTTCCCAAGGGAAATCATACTGTAGACCATGAGGCACAAAACTGCTAGAGCAAGGTAAATGGACCACACACCTATCACACACATGCACACACCCACGCACACTCCCACAACACACCTCTGTCCCATTAGTAGTAAACTTCAAACTGAGATAACTATAGAGTCATCGTAATGGCTTGCATTCATATGAAATCAGTTACATAATTTATACAGAGGAAATGCTATTCTTTAAATGCTATGTCAACTTTTCAGTAAGTAGTTACAACTTCAAAAGCAGAGGAAGTGCTTTCAAATGAAAGTATGACAGCGGGCTTGAGAAAGTCCTGCTTCCGAATGTGTCCAAAATATTTTATTCTGTAGATTCCAGGCTGGGCAGTGTCTGGAATATGCCATTGTATCGTTGCATTGCTACGACCGAGTAATCCCTTGTGCCAATAGAAACTGTTGGTAGGAAACAAACAAACAAACCAGATTTTACTCTTACAAAATGCGTGGTTAGAAAAAAAATATGATTACTCATTAAATGAACATTCAGGGAGTACCTACCATAAGCAAGGCACTAGTCTGGATATTCAGAGTATAGCAATGAACAAACCAAACATAAATACTTAGTTTCTAGATTCGAGTATCTAGAAGAAGATCTTTAAGGAATAGCCATTTGCTTGATCCACCTTTCTAACTATCTCAACTCAGTCCATCCCAGGAAATCTTACCTTATATTCACAACACAGATGTCTCTTGCTTTAGAACTCTTACACCATCCTTTCAGCCCTAGTCATCTTGTGCTTCAACTGACACTTCTTTTCACATCTAGATTCATTTGCTAAAATATATATTTCATGAGCATATGTGCTAGCCTCTGCTCTGAGGGTACACTAATGAGCAAGATACACATGGTCCTAAGTTTCATGGAGCAAGACAGATGTGGTCCACAGTGTCTGTCTGTGTTTCTCGGTGATAGAAGAAAGGCAATAAGCAAATAAACCACAAATGATTTTTCAAATGATATGTGAAATGACGAAAGTAGGGCAGAAGTATTTCTAAAGAGATATCATTTAAACTGAACCCACACAGATTTAGAGGAAGAACATTCTAGGCAGAGGAGAGAGACTGCAAAATATCTGAGGCGGGAGCAAACTTGGTAGAGCCAAGGAACAGAATGCAGGTCAGTGGAATCAGGGAATGGTAAACTGTGGAAGTGTGGCTGAGATGATAGAAACAGATGGAGTCGGACCCATTGGTCCTTATAGACCATGACACAGTGTTCAGATACTCTTTGGGATACAGGAAGATACAATGGGCCAACGGACTTATAGCCTCAGTTAAGTAGAGAGTAAATCCCCTGAGCATTAGATAGGGGTGTGCTTGACATTCTGTGTTTCTTGGCAATAAACCCTGTGCTCTCAACAAACAGTGGATAGCACTGCTGCTGCTGAGCAAGGGAGAACTATACATAAACTCAAGGTTGACTGCTATTCTGATCTTGGACTTTTGAAAATAAGTCACCCCTCTTTACTCTCTGTATAACCTTGTGCTAACAATAAATATATTGCTATTTATTGTTAAATATATTGTTAAATATATTTATTACTTGTTTCTAAATCACCTAGACCCCAGGGTCCTTCAGATCAGAGGAGAAAGCGTGCCCATATTAATGTATGTCTATGAAATGGGCCACAACACAGTCAAATCTCTATCTTCAGTCAACCACGTGAGCCAAACCAACACACAAATAATCATTTCATTTAAGGTTATCTGAATTAGAAACCAGTTGCTTGATTTTTTCCCACTTCCATGCCACTGTCCTGTGGCGAAATTTGTAAAGTTGGGAACAGAAACATTTTCTTATTTTAGACACACTTTTAAATCTTCAAAATATCCACTCAGCTCAGTCACTGTATTTGGTAACAACAGCCACAGCAATAGGGCCCTGGGAATAAACTCTGTGAGCATATTTCTTTCCTGAGTCAGTAAGGCCAACACTCAGGCTCTCGTGTTTTCGCCATTTGAATGAAGAATCATTGACCACATACAAACACACAACACACGTTGGGTATGGACTCATTATTTTTCCAGAAGGAATGTCAGGCTCTACAGAGATATCTCATTGCCTTCACCCAGCACCCCTGTCAACCAGTTTGCAAGAAGACTAGACAGCTTTTGGGAGTAATGTCTTTGACCATGGGAAAAAAATTAACAGATGTTTATAAGAATGGAGGCCATAACCTCCTTAGCACCTAATCTTACAAAAGCATACATCACAGTTTTGTAGAAAAATAGAATTGAAGTCTAATAAATCAGCCAAACATGGCCAGACAGCTGGGAATTTGATATCATTAATATCATGTGCTGAGCCAGTCTTCCCATTTGTCTTTGTTACATCACTAACAAGCTGTTTGCAAGGCTCGAAAGACAAAATATTCAATAGACGTGCTCACCGAGTCTCCCAGGAGGCATCATTATGTACCACCTGCCATCCCGTTGAAGAATTCTCATATTTCTCCACAGTGAGGAAAGTCTGATGGGTCTGAAATGCAATTAATATACCTGATCAGATACTTAACAGTTGCAGAAGCAATGTGTCTGTCAAGACACCCCTTGCTGACTTCCTGCTAACCTTCCAATACCTTGGTAAAAATGTGTCAGCGTTTCATCCAAACTCTTAGGTGTTCCTCTTAATATTCTATGCAATATTTTCACAGTGTTAGTCTATTCAGTCCATTAAAATCCATGACTTTTTCAAGAAAATGGAATAACACATAATTTCAGAGCTGATAGCAAATTTTGGAAATTAGGGCAGAGAAGAGACAAAATAAACTTTGATGTCTAAATAAGGCATAAGTCAAACCTTTTCATGGCATGTATATTGATCTATAATCCAAGAGTTTCACTAGTCACCTCACAGTTTAGGAGAGAAAATGGGAAAGCCCCCTCACCTTTCCATCTCCAGGTGTAGGAATTATTAGTAAGTATACCTCCCCAAGTGAAAAAATTGAAAAGAATGTATAAATCCTCTTTGTCCTGGGGTGCTAAAAGAAATTCCTCTATTTCATCATGCATTTCTAGAAAGCTCATCATAAGCAAGTTTCATTTTCCCATTGGAAAATTACTATAATAAATTATTTCAGACCAAGAACTCAGCTTCAAATAAAGCACAGATTTGAATAACAAATCAAAAGATATAACAGCTATAAATCTCCTTTTTTTTTTTCACAAAAATCTTTACATTTTGGCCCTTAAGGGCATGACTTATGTCTACTTCACATCTTTGTCCTTCAGAGCCCATTATACCTGCCATTTACAGGTATTCAAATAAACTTTTGTGAATCGATCACTTAATTGCATTTGTGATAAATGATCATTTCAAATATTTTTCTAGTTATTAAATGATAGATTATATTTAATAAAGAAATTTTCATAACCACGGTGACTTGTGAAGAGAACTACTTCTGGCCATTTAGGGCAGAGGAACACTGGGGAGTGTTGGATGGGGCAGAAAACGGAGTGGGCCCTAGTTCCTGCGTCTAGAGTACAGATCAGAGACCGAGTCTAGGCCACTGCATATCTGAATCATATGACTATCACTTCCCCACCTCCCAGCCTTAATCACCTCCAGATATGCAATTAGTTAGTGCAAGTTACTTAATCTCTCTAGGCCTAAATAAAATTGGGATGATAAAATGTAACTCATTGGATGGTAGCAAACATTATATTCAACTCATGTGGTGATGTATATAAAGCACTTAGCGTAACACCTGTGAATAGTGAGCATTCGATAGTAGTGAGGATATGATGATTATTACTGATACAGTGCATGAGAAATTGTTTTGTGCCCAGACCCAGAGGCTTCTTAGAAATTAATTTTACTCTTACTATAAAGCATTTTAAGAATTTTTTCTTCTGCTTCTTTGTGGCAATAATAATAATAATATTAATATTTCTTTACCCTAAGGATATCAAATAGCAGCTAAATCTATAGTTTTACTACAACACTTGGCTATACCCAGAAAAGTAATGTGATGAACATGTAAATATTTTGGCACAGCTTGAATGCCTAGAGAAGTTATTTCAAACAGGTACATTTCAATTATCCAAGCAGCAGAACATTTTCCCCCAATGCCCTTTAGACAATGTCATAGTGCTGCAATTGTTATCAACAACAACAATAATATTTTAATGAACACAAGTGGGAAGGTTCATTCAGAAGAAAGCTGTTTTGGGGTGTAAGTGACAATGGACCCAGGAAAGAATGGTTTATCAACAGAGTGAATGTATCCTCAGCCACAGTAAAAAAAAATCTGATCTTGAGATCACTTTCATATACACTTCGTCCTCTATATTTCTTTATTCTTTGAATTTTTACAACTAGGATGTGTCTGTTTATTGCTCATGTACTATACCTACAAGAACATTCTAAGGGAGCTGCAGAGGAGTAAAATCACTTCATTTTGTTCATAGATAATATATACATATTATACATATTATCATATATACATATATACATAGATAAATACATAGAATACCTACATATATCTATACATATACTTTATCATACATTCATAATAAAACAAAAAATATAAAATGATGTGTAAGAAACTATTAACAGTGATTACCTCTAAAAAGGTTTATGAAGAGAGGGGCCTTTCACATTCTATCTCAAGCACTCCTATATTACCTGCTTTTAAGTTAGACCTGTCTTTTTTCCAGATTAATAAATAACTATCTAGTATGCCCAGTAGTAAAGAGTAGGGAAACTCAGAGGGCAAGACATAGTAAAACGCAAGGGTCTGGCTCCCAGCCGGGAGCGCCCCGCACTGCAGGGTTCCAGGATCACTCCGCGAGAGTAGACGCGGCGCAGGAGGAGAGGTACCAAAGAGGAGGTAAGGAGGAAGGAAGCAAAGGAACACTTCACTCTTCACGCTTTGATTATTTTTCCAAATTTAGTGGAATTTCTAAATTGGAATACATAAGTGGGATTTTACTCAAATATGCATCTCAGCCATGAAGGCAGTTCCCCATACATTGAGTTATGTGTGGTCCTGAGTAAAGACGTAAAGGTTGCCTGCCTGCCTTTTTACCAGGCTCAACTCCGCATGAACTGTTCCCACTGAGAATGTTCTCACACCTACAAAATCAGATGAACAAAGATGTAAAGCATGTTGGAACATTTTGCCTTCCTGTTGTTAATCTCTAAAGGAATATTCAAGTGAATGAAAGGCTAAAAGGTGCATTTAAATTTGTAAAAAAAAATCATTGATGCTTACGCGGTTTTCTGCTGAATTCTTTGGGTTAGCGCCCACAAATGTAACTTCAGCAACATCTCCCTGAAAACAAAAATTTATTTTATGAGTACTAGTAAAAGTATTTTGTCGTGCATATCTTTGGGCCATTATTTATGAAATATTCTAGGATTTGGGGTACCTGTATATATTTTATTCTATTTAGTCAAGTGATTATCTTCTGTGAATATTCAATACAATACCCTTACAACAACGGATACAGGTATTTTTGGCCAGCAAATTGCTCCAGATTTTTTGCCAATGAATCTTCCTCCAGATTTTTTGCCAATGAATCTTCCTCTGGTGGGCTCAGGTATCGATGAAGATACAGAGCTTCAGTTTATATTCATGATGGCATTGAAGTGTCTCCTTCAGCCTTTGATATTTTCTTATACCTCCCTCCCACACACACAATAGGAGGTGGACTAAATTAAATAAGAGCAGTCAACAGTTTCCATGGATGATGTACACATACAAGATGGAGTGACAGGGTGTGCATTTACCTTACCTTATATATCTATAAAGGTATTTTTAAAATAACAAACAAATAAATATGCTCCACCGCTTACCATGATACACAAGACTGTTTATGGATAAATTTCTACCTACTCTTCCACCTTAAGCCCTCTCCCATCTGTACACCCCAGAGATGGTGAGCACTCCTACTCACCCTCTAAGACCTAGCTCACATTAAAAACACTTTTTAAATAAAAACTTTCCTCGGATTCAGAATCTGTGTTGACCCTCTGAGCAGAGATGATGTGCCGCTCAATCACGGACTTTGCTGTTAACTCGGGATTTAACTGTCATCAATTCATTTCATCTCCTTTAACTCATTCTCGCCAGTGAGATTACCAAATTAGCCAATCTTACCAACAGCTAGCAAAATGTGCCAACAACCATCAATTAGAATCTCCTGAAAAAATCCTTATATCATTTATGAAAGCAATTGGCCCTTCAGCCAGTATTATGGTTTATTTAAAAACTAAATGCTATTTCTGGTACCTGGTTAGCCAGATTATCCTAATCCTAAAAGTATTCTTCTCCTTGATATTTTTCTAGATTCACAATTTCCTGTTTATTCATTCAACTTAACTATGAAAAACAACCGAACTACAGATCCAAAATGCCAGTTCAAAAGGAAGGGAGATAATGAGGGAAAGAAGGGAAATTCTTCAAGGAACATGTGTAAAGGACCCATGGACAAAGCCTAAGGGGGGGAAGGGTGGGAAGTGGGGGTGGGTGGAAAGTGGAAGGTGGGGAAAAGGGAGACAGCTGTACTTGAACAACAATTAAAAAAAAGAAGGGGTGCAGGCACTTCTGCCATGACAGAATAGAGGTCAGTATTTCCTGTCCCCTCCAAATGTAAATAGAACAGTCAAAAATAACCATCTTGGCACTTCTGATATCAACCAAAAACTGAAAAATGTTTATTCCTTAAAACTACTAAACTTGAGGGAAAAGGGGCACAAGTCTTTGGTGTTCTTAACAGGGTTGCCCCCATCCTCTTGGCACTATAATTCAACCAGAGTGGGGAAGGCCATGGACTCCGCGGCATCCCTCGGCAGCCAGAGGGCACTCACTTGATCTGGAGCAAACACTGAGGGTTAATGGCTAGACCGGTGGACCAGTCAGGGATTTCAGAGTGTCTGGGGGAGGTAAAATAACCACAGTGTTCTTGATAAGCTCTCCTCCTATTCTGGATTGATGGGAAGCTATGAGCATTCACACAAAAGACCAGAGTGGGCCCCAAACCACCTACGCATCCCTGGCCAGTGGAGCCTTTGTGGAGATACAGTGGAAACATAAGGGAGTCCAGTGAAAATTAAAAGCAGGGAAAAACTGGAAGATAGTCTGAAGTTTAAATATACACACCAGCCCACGTAAATCTATCAGCAGAGATTGAAATTGTTATTCCCTGAGGTATCGAAGCACAAACTCTAACCAATATCTGGCTGAACATTAAGTGATGTAATCAACTCCATGAGATCCAGACTTAAAAGTACAACGAAGAATAAAGAAAAAGAACTGAGCAGATAACAGCAGTCACACACATTGCAAGAGAGACAGATTTTACCAATTTAGTCAAGTATTTTTATTTTTTTGATATGCCATTACAGTTGTTCTATTCCCCCCCTTCATTCCCCTCCACCCTGCACCCCCCCACCCCTACCATTCCCCCACTAAGACCTACAACCAAGATTGCTCTATCCAGCAAAACTTTCATTTAGAATGGATAAAGTGCTTCTCAGATAAGATCAAATTCAAGAAGTTCATCATCACCAAGCCCTTATTATATGAAATGTTAAGGGGACTTATCTAAGAAAGAGAAGATAAAAAAGATGAACAGTGAAAGGACAGCAAACTCACAGTTATTAACAACCACACCTAAAACAAAAGCAAACTAAGAGGACAGCTAGATCAGGAGCATAACCATAGAAATGAAGATCACATGGAGGGTCAGTAACAGGGGAGTGGGAGGAGGAGAAGAGGGGAGAAGGTACAGAAAACAAGTAGCATAGATGGTAGGTAGAAAATAGATAGGGGGGAGGGCAAGAATAGTATGGGAAATATAGAATCTAAAGAACTTGAGACATGTGGTCATAAACTAAAGGGGGGAATGGTGGGGGAGGGGGTGTGCAGGATGGAGGGAAATGAAGGGGGGAATAGAACAACTGTAATGGCATAATTAAGAAAATATATTTAAATAAAGAAAAAGAAAATAGATAGGGGGAGGGCAAGAATAGTATGGGAAATACAGAATCCAAAGAACTTGAGACACATAGTCAAGTTTTAAATGAGCAAGCAAAAACAGTAACTCTGTAATTGAGTGGTAAAGCTAGAGTTTCTACAATGTATCAAAAAACAACCAGTATTCACCAAAATGTTATGATATGTACACACAAGAAATTAGCAGCCATACTAAGAGAAAAAAAGCAGAAACTAAAATCGCCTCTCTCTGACCCAGATCTTGTGTTAGCAGTCAAAGTCTTTAAAACAGCTGTTATAAAATGTTCTAAGAACTAATATAAATCATGTTTAAAGAATTAAGGAACTTAAGCCCTGGCTGGTGTAGCACAGTGGATTGAGCGTGGGCCTGCGAACCACAGGATCACAGTTCGATTCCCAGTCAGGGCACATGTCTGGGTTACAGGCCGGTTCCCTGCAGGCCAGCTGGGATGCACAAAAGGCAACAATACATTGATGTTTCTCTCCCTCTCTCCTTCCCCTCCTTCCCCTCTAAAGATAAATAAATAAAATCTTTAAAAAAAAAAGAATTAAAGGACTTAACAAGTGACCTTAATGAAGAGAAGTAATTAAAAAAAAACAACTGGAAATTTTGAAGTTGAAAATCACAACAATGAAATGAAAAATCACTACATGGGCTTAACATGAATATGAAATGACAGAGGAAAAGACAGGTGAACTATAATGCATCAGTACAAAGTGTCCTATCTGAAGAATAGAGAGAAGGTAATATTAAAGAAAAAGTAACAGTGCCTCAGAAACATATGGAACAACATCAACGAAACCAAAATTCATGAAGCAGAAGCCCTAGAATTACAGAGAAGAGATAAAAGGACAAAAATTTTTTGAAGATATAATGGCCAAAAACTTCCCAAAGTTGACAAATATTACCTTACAGATCCAAGGAACTGCATAAATCCCAAGTAGGATACACACAAAGTACGTCACATTTAGATACATTGTAGCAAATTTGTGGCAGAAGGGAAAAAAATCTTGAAAGCAGTAAAAGAAAAATGATTCATTACCTATAGGAAGGAAAACTATAATAAAATTAACAGCTGGTCTCTCATTAGAGAGTGAAAGAACACAATACGACAACATATTCAAAATGATAAAAGAAAAATATTCTCAACTGAGAAGGTAATCTAACTATTCTTCAAAGATAAAGAAAAAATAGCTTACGAGATCAGGCGCGTTCAGGGTGGTATGGGCGTGAACAGACCAAAAATGGCTCAAGAAGATCTCAAAGCCCCAGAGCCCATAAATCTAAGTGACGAAGAAATAGCAAAACTTTCAGATGCACAGCTCAAAACACTGGTGATCAGGATGCTCACAGAACTGGTTGATTTTAGTCACAAATTAGAGGAACATATGAAGGCTAAACTAATTGAAATGAAGGGAAATGCACAGGAAACCAATAGTAATGGAAAGGAAATAGACTCAAATCAAAGGAGTGGACCAGAAAGAGGAAAAAAAGGACCAACCAGAAGAGAATGAAGAAACAAGAATTCAAAAAAAATGAGGAGAGACTTAGGAACCTCCAGGACATCTTTAAATGTTCCAACATCTGAATTATAGGGGTACCAGATGGGGGAAAGGAACAGCCACCAGTGCAAAACTTATTTGAACAAATAATAAAGGAGAATTTCCCCAATCTGGCAAAGGAAATAGACTTCCAGGAAGTCCAGGAAGCTCAGAGAGTCCCAAAGAAGTTGGACCCAAGAAGGAACACACCAAGGCACATCATCATTATATTAGCCAAGATTAAAATGAAGAAGAGAATCCTAGAAGCAGCAAGGGCTAAAGGGACAGTCACCTACAAAGGAGTTCCCATCAGACTGTCAGCGGATTTCTCAAAAGAGACCTTACAAGAAAGGGCAAGAAAGGGCTGGAAAGAAGTATTCCAAGTCATGAAATCCAAAGACCTACAACCAAGATTGCTCTATCCAGAAAAGTTTTCATTTAGAATGGAAGGGCAGATAAAGTGCTTCTCGGATAAGACCAAATTCAAGGAGTTCATCATCACCAAGCCCTTATTCTATGAAATGTTAAAGGGACTTACCTAAGAAAAAGAAGATAAAAAAGATGAACAGGGAAAGGACAGCAAACTCACAGCTATTAACAACCACATCTAAAACAAAAGCAAGCTAAAAGGACAGCTAGATCAGGAACAGAACCGTAGAAATGAAGATCTCATGGAGGGTTAGCAACAAGGGAGTGGGAGGAGGAGAAGGGGGAAATGGTACAGAAAATAAGTAGCATAAACAGTAGGTAGAAAATAGATAGGGGGAGGGCAAGAATAGTATGGGAAATATAGAATCCAAAGAACTTGAGACACATGGTCATAAACTAAAGAGGGGGAATGGTGGGGGAGAGGTGTGCAGGGTGGAGGGGAATGAAAGGGGAGAATAGAACGACTGTAATGGCATAATCAATCAAATAAAAATTAAAAAAATAAATAAAGACATTCCAGATAAACCAAAGTTGAAAGAATTTCTTGTTAGCAAACTTTGTAAAAAAGAATACTAAAGGAAGTCCTCCAGGCTGAAAGGTAATGATGCTACATGTTAATTCAAATTCCTGTTTTTTAAGATTTTGGTTATTTTCTAGAGAGAGAAGGAGAAAGAGAGGGAGAAAAACATCAATGTGTGATTTGCTCCTTGTGTGCTCCCTCGTGCGGACCTGGCCACAACACAGGCGTGTGCCCTCACTGGGAATCAAACAAGTGATCCTTTGGTTCACAGGCTGGCACTCAATCCACTGAGACACACCAACCAGGGCTAATCCAAATTCTTAAAAGAAATAAAGAGCACTAGAACTGGTCAAGATGTGGGTAAGTCAGTATTACATAGAAGTAATTTTCCATATATTCTCTTAACCTCTTTAAAAGGCATTAAGATTGTATAGAATGAAATTAAAACACTATATTATTTCATTTTTATATAAATATAATACATGTAATAATATCACAAGGATGGGAAAGGAAAAAGAGATATATTGGACAATTTTTTATGTTTTTTGGAATTAAGTTATATTGAATTAGATTGTAATTAGTTAAGATGCATATTATAGATCTGAGAAAATAAGACTATATATATATATATAGCTTATTTCAGAGTATATATATACTTAATTTCAGATTTTTTTTATTTTTATATATATATATATATAATAGCCTCTGCATTCAAATTCTTAGAAAAATACAGATATCTAAAGACAACAGAAAATCTGAATAGGCCTAAACCAACTAAGGGTAATGAATTAGTAATTTAAAATTTTGTCATAAAGAGAAGCCCAAGGTCATATGGCTTTGGTGATAAATCTCATCGAATATTTAGAGAAGAAATGACACCAACCTTCTGCACACATGTGCAAAAAATCAGGAGGAAACGCTTCCTCACTCATTCCTTGAGACCAGAGTGACCCCAACAAAGACAACATATGAAAAGAGTGTGCAAATATCCCGCATGGGGATGAGCACAAAACTTTTTAGCAAAATATTACCAAAGAAAATTCAACAACATATAAAATCGATTATATACCATTACTAATGAATATTTATTTACTATCTGAAAGTCAACTAATACAATATGCCATATTAATGGAATGGAAAACAAAAACCTCATGATCATCTCAGTAGTTAGAGAAAAGCATCTGGAAAAAATCCAATATCCGCTCCTCACAAAAACTTTCAACAAATCACTACGAGAAGGAAACAGAAAGAATCCTGGACAACAAAAGTTACACTTAATGACTGAACACTTTTCCTCCAGGAATTACAAACAAGACAAGGATGGCCAGTGTCACAGCTTCTATTCAACATTGTTTTTAGAAATTCTAGCCAGTGCAATAAGAGGGGGGAAGACTAAAGGTATCCAAAAAAGGAATCCGGAAAGCAATCATTAAACCTGTTTTTTGCTCACAGGAAACACCATATTATATGTAGAAATGTTTAAGGACCCCAAGTCCCCCCGACAAAAAATCTATTAAAACTAATACATAATTTAGCAAACTTGAAGGACATTGTATATAAGTTGAAGGACAGTTAATATAAAATAATAGTGGTACAAATCCTGATTCATTTCTAGGTGCCTTTCCTATCCTTGATTTAAGAGACAACTTTTCTGAGTTCTAATGAATGATTCCGTGACCATCCATTTAAGAAGAAATAGAATAATTTGGATTTTAGAAATTCAACTTTACATAATTACCACCTGGAAAATAATTATCTCCCCATTACCACATTAGCATAGCCTCTACAGAGATAAGAATGATTACCAAAATTATTGTTGCTAACACCTGATGATCTGTGGTATCATTAGAGGCAGATGCTGCCATTGATGACATTTCTCCCCTCCCTCCCCCATCCCCACCCCCCACACCCTGCCCCTGCCTGCCTTGTTATCCACAAACTCAGGCTTCTCTGAAACATTCCAAGATCTCTTTGTGCATCTTACCACTCTGTACTTAGGATCCAACGGCTGCAGGACATCCCCAAAATTCTTGCCTACTGGTGCTCTGTCCGCAATATTAGGAATTAATGGAATTATCAGTTGTTTGAAAAATGGAGGCTCTGGACCTCTGCTCAGATTGGCTACTGTGTCCTAGAAGAGAGAACATTTGCTTAAGGAGGACACAACATAGAGGCAAAGACGCTTTCCTGAGATCCCCATCCCCAGAAAAACCTTCGTTAAAGGATTCCATCCCTCCCTCCCTCTCTGCCTCCAAGACCTAACTACTTTGACAAAATTCAAGGGGAGGTTTGCTAAAATGTGAGCCTAGGTGTGCATAATTTAAACTTTTGTAACTAGAGGAAAGTTTTGGTCATAGCAACACTTCCACTCCCCCGGGTAGTATATAGTTCAGTGATCAGAGTGTAAGCATGGAAGCAGGCAACACAGCTTTAGATTCTAGGCCAACCAATTTTTCACCTGTGTGACCTTGAAAGGGAGCCCAGCACACGACAAGCCTTTGTAACATGACACCGTAATTATTCTAATTTTTAAAAAAGTGTTGAGCCTCTTTTATCTAGAATCAGTACCAAGGTTTTTCCCTAAATTCTCCTCTGTGCTGATTAAATAATATAACAAATATATTTTTAATTTAAAGGTTAAAGTCTGTCTGTATCCTGACTGTTTTGTGTTTTCCTCAAAATGTGCTACTTTCCATAATGTCATCAAAATGCTAACTTTAATGCAACCTCAAATTTAAATAGCCCTTTATCAGTAGTTAATGTACTTTCATAATTATTTTATATAGTTAATCTTTACAATAGGATGTAACCTGTTATCATTTCCATTTTACAAATGAGAATATAAGCTCAGAGATACTCAGTTTTTTTAAGGTCATGTAGCTAGTCTTAGATACATAACCATGAAATTCTGTCAAATGAATTCCCACCAAATGACTCATACTTTTATTCCTAAATATCACTATAAAAAATTTGAGAAACCTCTTCCTATGGGAAGAACTATAGATGTATGCCTACAATGAAAGTTAGATGGTGGTCCTCTCTAGGGTTAGGTTATAAGTTTATATATTTTTTCTGTATAATTTGAATATTATACAAGTAGTTACAGCTTCTATGAGGAAAAATACAAAAGTTCTTCTTTGAAAAAAGTACCAAATCTAAAATTAAGAACATTATGATGAAACAATTCAACTATATCCTAATACCTTGTATTGAAACTTCAAACACACAATAAGCAACTAATTAGGTAAAGGCACGTGACATTGCCAATCTTCAACTGTTTGACCTATAGAAACAGCAATGTCCTTTGTTTCCATTGAATATGTCCAAGCTCTTTCTGTTAAAAGGCATTTATTATCTTTGCTAGGCTGTAAGTGTTTCATAGCCTTATTGGGACTTACATGTTATTTATTACACAATGGTCTGTTTATTATTTTAACTCTTTATCTTGCTTGTTGACTAATAATCTGACAACAGAGTACAGCCTCATAAATAACTGTTTTCAAAGGAAAGATTTCCACAAGTGGAGTTCCCTTTAGGTCAAGTTGCTTAAGTATTAGTATCTTAGGGAGATATAATATGTAATGTGCATTCCCAGGTACTGTTGAACTTCATCAAATCTAAGATTCTATTGACTATAAGAACTATTATTATTTTAGAACCACCAAGAAAGTAAAATCATGCCAATAGTTATAATCGTAAGACTCCTCTGACTGGAAGATGCATCCCCATTTCAGAGATGGAGTAATAGGAAAAATGGGCTTCTCAGAATTGATGACCCACTCAGCTCTTGAAGTGACTGGAGAGAAGCTGGCTAGGATTAGAGAGTGCTGATTCACCTCCTGGTTCTAGTGATAATAAGCCTGATCACTTACCATCTCTGAACCTATTTGCTCATCTGAAAAATAGGGGAAAAGTGATGACTTCAATACTTCACATAATGATTGTGAAGATAATATAATACATATGAAAAAAGCTACCACAACCAAAAGGCATTTACTGAATCTAAAATTACTGTTTCATTTCTTAGGAATGCCTCATAGCCATATATATGCACACACACACACACACACACACACACATATATATATAATACTATATATTATTTTTAAATATAAAGTTTTTTTTTAAACTGCACGCTCACAGCTAAGGTTCCTTTTTGCTTCCCTCTGTATCCCCCACCCCGAGACACACATGCATTCAATTTTTGATTACCGTAGCAATGGCCTTAGCAAGGACTCTGAAGAGCTGGATGTAAGCAGACAGAGTGTGTGGTCCATAAATTGTCGACGCTGCCTCATACCGCTGAACCTGCAGGGAAGACAGGGTCATGTTGTATACCTGTCTGCGTATGTCAGTGCATTTACAGAGGTGTCCCAGCTTAGGAGAGGAGTAGCACTTGGACATCTCATGTAGTTCAAACCGGCATAATTCAAGATTAATTATGACAAAGGGAGGGGGTGTTTTCATGTCCCTGCTAAAGTGCATGGCTCCCATCAACTACTTATTAAAATCAGTGGGTTCTCCTGGTTGATGATTTTTGGACTGTCAGCCCATTTAATCTACTAGCTCCTAAGCGTGTGTCTATTTTGAGTGCTTGTATTGTAAACGCTTCCCCCAAGGATATACCAGGAGAAAAAAAATGAAGAAAAATGATTCTTAGTAACTCCTGGATAAATTGGATGGTAATAGTACAATTCAGGGGAAAAAACGTTTCACCCAACAGAGAGCTATAAAATAGAACCCAACACATCTCTGTTTACCCAAGCTCCAAGCCTTCCCTTGTTTCACAGGAACCTGAAATTCATCAGATCTAAAATGGAACTTATCGCTCCAAATATACCAGCTTTCCCCGAAATGTTCCTCATCTCAGTGAATACCATCCTTCCAGCCTCCTACGCCAGGGTCAGTTGGCAGTCCTTGGGTTCCTCTTGACCCCTCATCCTGTGTCCTGTGAGTCTGCAAGTCAACATTCCTTAAAATCTCTTGAATCTTTTCATTTTGCTCTGTCTCTGCTGCTTTTACCTTGATCGCACCCTTGCTTCTCACTGTAGTCATAACTACAGCTTCTTAATCAGTTCCGTCTCCACACTTGCCCTTCTGATTCATTTTCTGTACTGCCATCCTAGTGATCTTTCTAAACCACAGATTTAATCAAAGAATCGCTTTCTTTCAATTATTTGGGTTTCCCAAAACCTTCCTTATTGAGCCAAAGCTCTGTAGAACAGTGTAAAACTCTTTGACTAACCCCTGCCTTTCACTCTAGCCCATCTCACTACCTTCATTGTGCTTATTCCATGAAACCCAACTAATTCTGCGCTCTTACATGTACTAGGTCTGCCCCTCTGGACCTTGGCAGATGTAGCTCCCTCAGTATGAAACACCTTCCCAAACGTGTCTTTGCCTAATTAGCCCTTACTCACTCTTAAGAACTCAGACAGATGTTGCATCTTCCAAAGAATCTGCCAGTCCCCATGCTCAAATACTTAGTCTGCACTGGTGCTCTTTCTCTTTTTTTCATACCACCTTGTGCATCCCTTTCACCAGAGCATACGTTCTAGTGAACGGGGAGCCAGGTTCTTATTCACTGTTATGCCCAGATACTGGCTAGGACTGTACATCCCCAACACATATCTGTGGAATGAATGAACTAATCAATGAATTAATATTAATACTTGCAGGAGCATTTCCCTGAGCCAGGAGATAAGTATGTGCGGGTCCCTAAACTTATTTGGGCCATGAACATCTCTGGTTATCTGCTGAGGCCTATAAACCTCTCTCAGATTAATATTTCTATATACATAAAATATAATGCATGCATTGACAAAGGAAACTGATCAGATTAAAATATGTGAATCAAACAACAATAAACCAATTTTATGACAGAGTAATATTTGTGCTTCTTTATTGAATAACAAGATCTAGTGGCAGGTTTAATAACTACTTGATTTTAAAATAGTGATGAGAGTAAAAGATATTTCCAGATCTGAAATAATTCTGCACGATATGAAAAATATCTGTGGTTCCTATTGCTGATGAAGTCAGAGATCTACTAATACTGTCACCTGTCACCTACATCCATAATTGGAGGAAATAATAGTTACAGAGAAATTAAAAATGAATAAATGAAAAATTATTCCCATCCAAGTCTACCTCAACTCAGCAGAATTTCCTAGAAGGCAGAGAGACCTCTGCAAAGTCAGCAGAGGGCACAGAGGAGGCTCCACTGCTGGGATCACTGAACGTTCGCCGAGGGGTAGATTACACGCCTGGGCATAGATGCAGACACATTAGAAAGCATTAATTGTGTGACTCTAAACTGCTCTGATGTGAACCACTATTGTGAAAAAGTAGTTGGTCTACTCTCTGTGCTATTTGTAAAGAAAGAAACACTACTAGCCAGCAGCCTCCACTAAATCTCTGAAAGTCTGTTTCTTAATCTGTACCACGAATATAATAATACCCTGCTCCAGGGTTTATTGTGAGGATTAGTTAAGATCACATCTGCGAGGTGTTTAGCTAGTGCATCCAATAAGTAGCAGCCCTCAGTGGGAGTTTTCCCAGGTTCTGCAGAAACATCCTGAATAGAGTTAGGAATACTGTATGCCACAACCCAGTGCTGCTGACAAAAAAAAATTATTTCAGGAAAAGTGAAAGTCAATGAGACTAGATTTCTAATCTTAACTTGTAAATGGTAAACCTGGAACTCCAAATACAACCTCTGGTTTATCATTCCCTTATTTATTCTAATGCAAAATTATCTCTCAAAAACATGATTAAGTCTAGAAAGAAAACTCACATTTCATACAGTAGTCTTACCCAGGGTATATTTCACCTAAATGAAGAAAAAGTTGTACTTTACCTGGTATTCTTCATAGGTGGTAATGTAATGTGTGTATACGTTGCTTAGACCCGAAATAACCACAGTCATATTTTGCATCCCATAAGTTGCAAACTCCTGAGAGGAGAGAGAGGCAGAGCCCAGTAAAATTACTCTTCATCTTAAAGTGCATTATCATCCCAGTTATACTTAACAGTCACAGATATGAGTCGTTAGTGCAAGATGTCTCACTTAACAATATTCTCCCTAATGATCAAAACTGCCTGGGAATGCAGACGGATCCACAGGCCCTGGATAAAAGTTACAGCTGTCACTCTGCACTATAGCTGGACAAGTCAATGGTTCCATGAACATCTCAATGATTACATTTACAGACGTAGAATCTCCTTTTACTAAAATAAAGATATTTCATCAATTTCCTAAAAAGTTTAATGGGAGGTTACTAACTAAAGACAACGGTTATTTCCAAGTCCAAATTAATAAGATATGTGTTGATTATGTCATTTTAGAGCCATTTATAATACTTCCTGAATATAAAGACAATCATAATTATAGATAAAATATATAATCCTTAGCATGTGTTAGATTTTATTTAGATAAAACTATAATATATTAAGGTACTTAGGGGTTATTTAATCCATAAAACCATTATTAATTTTTAAATGATCAATACACAAATACCAATAAAATATTTTTAACCTGACTATAGTTCCCTTCTTTATATTTTTGAATTTGTTCTTATACCATCAGTATTTCACATTTACCTTTAGCCAATACTTTCAAGAAGTATAAAACTCTAGTCATTTTAGCACAGATTAATTTAAAAGGTATAACAGATGATATGGACAGGAAATTCTTTTCACCAAATATAAATGTATAGATGTTATTTGATTTTCAACTTACTGTTTTAATTGCCTCCCGAAGTCTTCGCCCAGACATGGTCCTGAGTAAAGGAAACAGAATTAGCTAAGTGTTTTCCTATATCAAATGTATGCAAAGTACACAGAATGGCTTGTAGTAGAAGCCTAAAAGTTACCCTGGTTCATGACACAATTGTACATTATGTAGAAACTCAAAGAAAAAGCAAAGTTAAAGTTGAGTTCTTTTTTCCTGACTATCATATCTTCAAAATGAATTCTAAAATGGAAACAGATAACTTGAAGGATGGAAAAAGAATCAATGAGTATCACTGGCAAAGGATCACAACCATTCCCATTCATTGATGCAACAAAATATATCAGTTATGTTCTATGTCAGTAAGATCTAAGGCCAGTAGAGAGTGTACTATCCCTGCCTTCAAAGAACTTACATTCATTAATTTAATCCTTCATAAAACTCTGAGCACCTACTGCATACCAGGCCCACCTCAGCAGTATGGAGCTAACATTCTAGGGAGGAAAGATGGCCAATAAGCAAATTAAACAGTAAGATGACAATGAGTCCTGTGAGGAACATAAGGTGGGGTAAAGGATGAAAGGGAATGGAGATGGCCATTGTGGTGGTACTGGTGTCGACACTGATGCTGTAGTGACATGGTGGTGGTGGAAGTGGTGCTGGGTAAAGACAATGTCACATAGTGTAAGCAGAACTGGCATCTCCATCAGAGATCTGAGCAGAGAACTGAAAAAAATAAAAGAGTTGGCCAAGGGATTACTGGAAACTAAGTGTTTCGGGCAGAAGGAACCATTAAGTTGAAAAGTGTTACTACAGGAGCACGCTCGGGGAGTCTGGGAACTGCAGTGAAGCCCAAGTCGCTGCAGGAAGGAAGGGGAGAGGGAGAGCCATATGAAATCAGACCAGAGGGCCCTGTAGGATGCTGTAAGGGTTTTAGGATTTACCAGAGTGAGATGGGAAGTCGGTAGGGAGTTTTGAGCAGGACACAGCTTAACTTGTGTTTTAAAGGGATTTCTCCAGCTGCGGTGTTGATAAAATGCCATAGAGAAGTAAGGGAGGAAGCAAGAAGGTGAGATAGGGAGAAGTGATGGTGGCTTAGACCAGAGGGGAGTTGGGGCACTGGGGAAATAACAGAAAGTATTGGGTAGAACATACAGGATTTGCTGAAGGACAGAAAGTGGTAGAAATTGAGAAGAAAAGAATTCAAAAATAACTCCAAGATTTAGGGCCTGAGCAACAGGAAAGCTATGAAATTGCTTCTTACTAAGACAGGAAAGACTGCCTAAAGTCTTTAAACATTTGATTTAAAACATTCTTTCATGCTTCTAAAACCTAAACTGATTGTTTTGAGAATCTGTACTTAATATTATTTCAAGTCTTTTTACTGATATCATAATTCACCACATCATTTTAACTAGAAATGATAAGTTTTCAAGTTACACACTAGTAACAAGCATAGAAAGATGTATTCTTCAGAGGTCCCACAAAAAGTGGGTGGGAATATTTGTTAATGTTGCCAAATACAGTACAGTGAGCTACAAAGGAGTCAGTACAGAGTCATCTGCCCATGATAAGGGATTCCAACATAAATACACACCCGATAATTACATTTTTAACTACAAAATAAAAAATAAGAACTTACGTAAACTCCCCAGGGACTGCAGTTATGGCCAAGGACCCAAGAGTAATAATCTGAACATCAACAATATCTGGGTGCCAGGGGTGAGGTTTTGACAGCTAAAGAACCCAAAACACAAACACTGTGTTAGGAATATTATTACTGCTGTGGCCAAGAGATATGTGATGATCACAGAAGTGTCTTTAATAAAGATTTAAAATGTTTCCAGCTGTTTTTGGTGTCTTATCCTAGTATCACAGATTCTGTTTCTAATTCGTGATGTAACACTCAATATTCTATGTAGTCAGAACATGCAAATGTCAAATGTCACTGTCCTGTTAACCTGGACTCACTTTCTCATAGATGAAGTTTTGGTGGATTTGTCATTGTGGAACCACAATGTGTAGCATAACCACAGATTCTCCTAGAGTACCGTGGTGACTGTCCTCACACAGAACAAATGACTAATTCCATCATTTGAAATAGCTCAACTTGATCATTTCTAGAGTAAGTTAACTAATAAGTTCTTACTCTAATAGCACTTTAAGTTTTTAGTTACCTAGTCTTGCCCGACTTTCCAAGTTTTCTCCAAGAGAATCTAACTTTTTCCATGTTCAAATTAGTGTAAAATCTGCCCCTCTATTTTCCTTCCCTCTCTTTCTTCTTCCTGAAGAATTTTCATTGAATATTAGAGGAGAAAAAAATCTCTCTTAAAAAATTATTTTCTACATCAGCAGTTCATATCATGAACACTGGCATCACATGTTGACACTCAGAACTTGAAAATCCATGTTCCAAAGGAGTATTGAAAGAATATTGCTTTAGTTAATAACATTGCTTGATTTGTGAGAAAGTTGAGATATGAACACATTCTTTTTTATATACACTGAGATGTTTTTCTCTGCAGAGAATTCTGTGTGAATCCCTGTCCTGGAGATAACATAAATGAATTTTAAATAAAACAAATGTTATTCTTATCCTTCCTTTTTCAGTGTTCCAATGGTTTCAGTTATTTATCAAAAATTCAAATTGAACAATAAAAAATGTTTTAAAAATAAATAAAGATTAAAAAGAAGCGCACACATAAAAATTCAAAGTTACAATATTTAATAATCATAACAGTTATTTTTAGAATCATAGCATCTATACTTTTGATATTAAATATTTCGATATGGGAATATCTGAATAAGACCTCCCATGCCAATAGTGATCTACCATTCATATCCAACAATTCATAAATTTTAAAAAGCAGCATACTAATTTCGCCATGATGACAAAATGGTTTACCTCTCCAGTGTGAATAAGGACTGGCTTTGGTTTGTGACACTCTTTGATTTCATCAGATGGCTTCCCCAAGATCTGATTACGAATAGTTTCCCAGAATGGATCCGTTACCGTCGTCCCTATTAGGAATGTTTTAATAAACATGATTCCAACCCTCCAAACAGTGTCATCGTTTTGACAAATATTGTACAATGCTCTTAGAAGTTTCAGAGATTCTATTAAGGCTGTTATTTAATGATCCCGAACAGTCTGAAAAATAGAAGAAGCAAAATTTCCTGTGCTTCCTAAAATAAGAACTGTTACTTAATTAGATCTTCATGTGGTTGATAGAATAAAAGAATATATTTTGCTCAACATCCTTAAAGTTTTGTTTCTATTCCTCTTCTGCATTTCAAATAAAAATGATATGACGCAATTAACTGTAGATTTACCATTTTGAAAACTAAAGATGATACCTCCTACTTCAAGTACCAGTTGTTTGGCATGTGGTCCCTGAAAGAGCCTCTCTCAAATCCCCACTTAATTATCTGTACACACACACCCAATCAGTAAAAATCAAAAAGCTGGCCTAAAGTCCCAGTATAGGGAAAAGTTATGTCGACTACAAAACCTATAAACTTAGATTCTATAATCCATTCAGGAAATATAGCAAGTTATAAACATGTGTGGGCCAAATGAAAGAGCACCCAAAGTACATAAACCAGAACTTTCTGAAAGGAAAGGAGAAAGAGAATCAACAATAACAGTTAGAACTTCAAGAATCCCCTGCCGGTAGTAGATGGAACAACTAGTCAGAAGGTCAGTGGGGCAGCAGAAAACATGAGCAGCACTAGAAGCCACCTAGACCTAGTGGGTACCTACAGATACCTGTATCCAACAACATTATATACATTCTCCTAAGTGCATATGAAACATTATCGAGGATAGACCATATGCTGGCCATAAAACAAAGGTCAGTAAGTTTCAAAGAAGATAAATAACACAAAATATGTTTTCTAACCACAGTGTAATGAAATTAGAAATAAATAACAGATGAGTATTTGAGAAACTCACAAATATGTGGAAATTAAACAACATAATTATAAATAGCTAATGATCAAGAAAAAAATCAAAAGAAAATATAAAAAATACTTCCAATACTTTCAGATGAATGCAAATGAACACAGTATACCAAAATCTCATGGGATACAATAAAATAGTACAGAGAGGGAAGTTTATAGCTTTAATTACCCACACTAACAAAGAAGAGGAGAGTGACAGCAGCAAGATGCAAGAGTAGAAAATACTGGCCTTTGCCTACCCTCCAACAAAAACACAACAATTAGACAGCTATCCACAGATGAAAATAGCCCCAGGAGGGCTCAAGAGTCCAATTGAGAACCTACAGCCATGCCGTGGAGCACAACACCAGAATAACTACATAGAAAGAATCACTGGCAAGATTAGCATGGCCGAGACATCTGAAGACAAGTAGAAACAAAGAGGAAGGGCCGATGCTATCAGTATCAGCCACACAGCAGGTGGCATCACGGAGTGCAGTGCCCTGCTCTGTGGAGGCCCCCAGCAATCCCTGCTGCTGAAAATCACAACAGTCCCCCAGCACTTTTCACAGCAGAGGACCCTGTTGTGTTCTTTGGCCCAGAGCCCAGCACCCTGCTCCACGGAGGACATCAGCAGCTTTTATGATTGAAGTAACCAGAGGCCATCACCATCATGGCCCCTGAGAGAGAGAGAGATGCTCTGGTACCTCCCTCATAAGGGACTGCTATTGTGCGGCCCTGCGACCAAGGCTGCCAGCCCCCACTCCAAACTCCACACATGCCCTTGACCCCAGAGCCCTGGCTGCTTCACACACATCCTTGTTTCAGACCCCTATATTGACCTCACTGTGTGTGCCTGTGCTCCAGACCCCAAATCTGCAGTGACTCTACATGCACCTGCATCTCAGATACTGCAGCCGCCACCACACCACCACTGTGCGCTATTCATTGTCCTGGACCGCAAAGCCACTGTCCTCTGCAAGTACATGTGCTCCAGTCCCCAGCTCCGTGGCTGTTCCATGTGTGCACACACCTAAGGCACAAAATTACTATTACTGCTGGCAGGCAAGTCAGTGCCCTAGACCCTGGAGCTGCTCTTGCTCCGTGAGTACACATGCTCCAGATCTCAGGTCTGTCATTATTCCATGGGTGCCCAAGCATTAGATAGCAGTGCCACCACCACCACCATGAGGGCACCTGCAAGCCAAACCTAGCACCAACAGAGATACCCTTGGACATGACATCCCTCATGGGAGAAAAAGAGATGAAGAGTTCCCAGAAGCACTCATACCAGTTGCAGATGCCCATAAGCCTGGCCTGTGAGGACACATGCAATCTTCACCAGTACTGACCTAAGTTACATGGAGATTATGTCACTTATATGGCATACCCCAGAGCTAGAACTGTGCCAGTTCACCCAGGCACAGATGAAGGCCTTATCCCACCAGAAACAGCATGTAAAGTCTGGAAGAGGTAACTTCCCAAACAAATGCACAGACAAATCACAAGGCTACAAGAATAACCAAAGGAAACATGACATCTACAAAGGAACATAATAATTTCCCAAAAGCCATCCCCAAAGAAGTGGAAAGCTACAAACTGCCCAAGAATTCAAGGTAATTGTTTTAAAGAAGCTCAGCTTGTTCTACAAGAGAACACAGATAGACAAAAAGGTCAGGGAAAATAATTTATGAACAAATTGAAAAAATTAACAGAAAGATGGAAACTATTTTTAAAAAAGAACTAAACAAAAATTCTGGAGCTGAAGGACACAATGAATGAAATGAATAATACAATAAAGAGTATTAACAACAGATTTAATCAAGCAGAATGTGTCAGCTCAAAGACAAGTCATTTAAAATGATCTAGTTAGAGGAGAAAAAGGAGTGAAAAGAGTTAAGAGAGCCTACATGAATTATTGGACATTAAAGGCTAAAGGAAGTTCTTTAACCTGAAATGCAAGAATACTTTCAGTACATAAAAGTATAAAACTCACTGGAAAAGTAAGTACACAGATTTAGAATAATATTGTAATGGTGATGTGTAAATCATGTAACTCTGGTATGAAAGTCAAAAGGCAAAAGCATTAGAAATAACTAAGAGTACAGTAATTTATTAATGTGCACACAATATTGAGAAGATATTATGATACTATAACATAAAAAAATGGGGAGAGAAGGTAAAAGTATAGTTTTCTATGCAATTGAAGTTAAACTATCAGCCTAAAATATAAGATGTTTTCCATAAGCTTCATGATAACCAAAACCAAATACCTGTAGTAAACAAAAGATAAGGAAATTATACCATTATTAAAAATAATAATAATATCACAAAGGAAGACAAAAAGTGAGAAATAAATGAACAAGGGGACTACAAAATTGCCAGAAAATGACTAGTAAGATGGCATTGGTAAGTCCTCACCTATAAATAATTACTTTCAATGGAAATAAATTATCCATACAAATGATACAGAGTGACTTAATGGATAATAGACAAGACCCAACTAATGGCAGTATGTCCTCCTATCTAACCAATATCCCCCTCTCCCAATTAAAAAAAAAAGTCCCCTGTAAAGCAATTAGGCGAGAAAAATATAAAAGACACACAAATTGAAGGAAGAAGCAAAATTGTCAGACAGAGAGAGACAAATACTATATGTTCACATTTATATGTGGTATCCATAAATCCAAAACTCATGTAGAGGAGACTAAAATGGTGGTTGTCAGGGGATGGGGTGTGAGGGGAATGGGAAAATTTTGTGGAAAGGGTACAAACTTCTAGCCATAGAATAAATGAGTTCTGGGAAAATAACATAAAGCATTATGACTATAATTACCAATACTACTTAAACATTTGAAAGTCATTAAGAAAATAGATCTTACATGTTATCACAATGATAAATTAATGATGTGAGAGGACAGAGGTGTTTAACCTTATTGTGGTAATCATTTTATAATATATATGTGTGCCAATGATCACATTATATACCTTAAATATGCATATATGTCAAAAATATATCACTAAACAACAAAGAAACCTCATAATCAAACTGATGAAAACCAAAAATCAAGAGAAACCTTGAAAGAAGCTGAATATTTAAATACCCATGGATTTCTAGTCAGAAACCACCAGATGATAAAAGAACATCTTTAAAGAAAGAAACTATCAAACTAATATAAAGGACACATGAACAACTACTAAGGGGGGTGGAAATGGGGAGGGAGGTGAGGAGCACTGTGGGGTGGGCTGGGATGGAAGTAAAAGACAGAAAACTGTACTTGAACATCAATTAAGTAAAAAATAAAAAAGAATATTTATTTAAAAAAAGAAAGAAACTATCAACTAAGAATTCTATATTGAGAGAATATCATTCAGGAATGAGGCAAAATAAAAATATTCTCAAATGAAGGACAATTGGGAGAACTGGTGACTAGCAGACTTGCTCTTAAAGAACTGACATTCTTCAGGCTAAAGGGAAATATTATTATATAGATAAATCTAAGGTGAAAGAGAGCAATAAAAGTGGTAAATATGTGGTAAATGTAAAAGACCATATTCTTGAAAACACATCTTACTATTGAAATGGATATCAAAATATCTATTGTGTTGTGCTTTTCAATGCATGTAAATGTAATGCACATAAAAATTAAAACATAGAAGATAGGAAAACAAAAAGTGTTTCTGAGAGGACAAGATTAGTTTTTAGTTTGTATTAATTTTACATCAGTTTAATTGTAGCTGTAAGAAAAGTAACTAGACTTCTGGTCAAGATGGAGACATAGGTAAACATGCTTCACCTCCTCACACAACTACAGAAAAAATTACAACTACACCTCAAAACAAATAATACCTGGAACTATCAGAAAATCAAGCTGTATGGAAGGAAGTCCAACAACCAAGGATTTATAGAAGCCACATTCATCCAGGCAGGTAGGAAGTGTGGAGACATGTAGACAGGCAGAGAGATGCAAAGACCCTGTGTAGCCAGAGAGGAGGGAAAACAGAAGTCCTTCATTCACATGTGGTAGATAAAAATAGGAAGGGACACCTCAGAAGCAAAGGATCCCAGCCCCAGGCCA